TTTATTGCTACTGAGAGAATGACTGCCAGGATAAATCTTTTTTTCAAAGCCTGAGCAGGTCACTTTCTTGCCTAAAGCCTCCTTGGCTACCTACTGCCCACCAGAACCAGCCGTAGTATTCAGGCCATTCAGTGAGAGTGACACTGAGATTCATGGGCCCAGAGTTCCTGAAGTTAGGGCCACTGTTGCTACATGTGCTTGTACCAGGGGCATGTGCTTATCTGCCATCAGGACTTAACTGTTGGGCATGTCATTTATGTATTGGAAGGGGGGTCTCCTTGGGGAGGCCTCAGTACCTGAGATAGTATGGGACTAGTTGTGGTGTTTCAAACACTTCTGAATGCCCAACGGTTATGACTCTTGGTCATTGGTTGGTACGGAACAGGCCTTCAGAAATATCTGTATGTGAATGGTCTTTTGAAGAATATCTGCTTGAGTTCTCTACTGATGGGGACAGAAACCAAGGCTGATCACAAAAGGGTTATCCCCGTAGCATAAACAATTCTAGGCTTTCTGCTTCTTTTGGTAACATTAATGATAAAAAAAAAATCTACTTTTGACTGTCTTAGTTAGGGTTTCTATTGCTGTGAAGAGACACCATGACCACAGCAACTCTTATAAAGGAAAACATTTCATTGTGACTAGCTTGCAGTTTCAGAGGTTTAGTCCGTTATCATCATTGGTGGGACATGGTGGCATACAAGCAGACATGGTTAAGGAGAAGGAGCTGAGAGTTCTACATTTTGCAACAGGAAGCGAACTGTGTACCTCACTGAGGGTAGCTTAAAACCCACTGCCACAATGACACACTTCTTCCAACAGGGCCACACCTACTCTGACAATGCCACACCTCATCGTAGCGCTACTCCCTTTGGGGGGCATTTTCTTTCAAACCACCACATTAACTAAGGCAGTTTCTCAACCTTGTTCTTGTTATTTTCATCTGGGTAAGTCTTTGTCATGTGCCATGAAGGACGCTTAGCAGTGTTCCTGCCCAAGTTCTGAAATCATATCGCCAGATATTGCTGAGGCTCAATTACCCATCAGGAACCCTTGGCTCAGGACAGCAGCTCTCAATTCTGGTGCCATTCCCAATCACCTGGGAATTTTAGAAACTAAAGATGCCTGGTGCTTTACTTTAGCCCAAATCGAACTGATCGTGGGAACAGCCAGGGTACAGGAGACTATAAGAACTCCCTAGGGACTGCTTATCTTACTACAGAGATAATTGTTTGTACATGTTTCTTGCTGTTCTATTCATAATTGCCAGGAATTGGAAAAAGCCAAGATGTTCATCAACTGATAAATACATGAGGCTGTATGGACTGAAATTATGAAATTTGCAGGTAAGTGGATGTGGCTAGAAACAATTATTCTGAGTGAGGTAACCCAGACCCAGAAAGACAAACTGCTGCTTTTTCTTATGTGTGTTAGCCTTTATGCTTTAGATATGTGTGTTTCATATGGAATACTACAGAGGAGGCATCTAGTAAGGGACCAAAGGGGAGGATGGGGTCTTCTGAGTAAAGGGAAATAGAATATAATGTTATAAAGGGATGGAAGGGAAACTAAAACAGGAAAATTAAAGGGGGTGGAGAATTTGAGGGCAGGGTAGAGGCCCTTTGAAAAGCCATATTAAAACCTACTACTCTGGAAGCTGCCTAAAATATACACATAGTTAAAGGAATTTAAGTAGAGTCACCATATATGTAGGGGAAACAATACCTAGACACCATATGCTACCAAATCAAGCCCCCAGTGCCAGAAGTGGGTTTCATCTTTTTGCATTATTGTTTCAAGAGATCCCACAGATCTCTCAAACACTATGGGCCATTGCCAATGGTATTGGTTACCCTCCACAATCTGATAGTAAGACCCTACCGCTGAAGGGCCCCTCGTCATGGAGAAATCTAGCTGGCATTCAACCAGAAGCTTTGCCTCTACTGGCTTGCATTCATAGTGCTAGACGGTGCTTTATACACTATCAGAGGAGGAAAAATAATCACCAGTCTGACCCAGTTACCAACCCTGTGAGCTATAATGGTGAGCTGCCTGCAAGATATGCCCAGTGGTGCAACAGTAGCAAGAATGTCAGGGGAATAACCAACCACTTTTTTAAAGATCAGGTTTAAGACCCACTCCATGAGATGAAATCTGTATTATTAGAGTCTAAGGACTTGAGACTAGATAAGTCACAGGCCTAGGGGAAAATCTGCTATTATTCTACTAAATGACCATAGCAAGAAAGCAACCCTTAGTGACATACTGCCATACCCATGAATCAGTTCATCACTCCGTTCTCAGAAGTGAGGCTTCATCTCACAGCAGATGGTAATTAACACGGAGACCCACAGCTGAACAGTGCGCAGAGAGTGAGAGACTTTGGAGGGCTCATTCCCGAGAGGACGTCTTTCTCAAACTCTCCCCTGCAAGGCTGAGGGATATATGCAGAAAATGTCGAGATTGTAAGAGCCAGAGACAGTGGGTAACTTCAAGGAAATAGCACTTTCCAGATACAACAGGGCTGAAGTACAAATGAATGACGGAGACTGACAGTGTGCACAAGTTCAAGTTAGACAACAAAACCAAACCAAACCACAAAACAGCACAAAGGAGGGGAATTGGGCACAAAGTTCCACCAAGAGCAAGGAACTGTTCACCAATGACGGCTGCTGGGAGAGAGAGGGAGAGGGAGAGGGAGAGGGAGACAGAGAGAGAGAAGGAGGGAGGGGGAGGGGGAGGGAGAGGGAGACAGAGAGAGAGAAGGAGGGAGGGGGAGGGGGGAGGGAGAGGGAGATGGAGAGACAGAGAAGGAGGGAGGGAAGGAGGGAGGGAGGGAGGGAGGGAGGCAGTTTTCTTCCATAGAGTGGTAGCTTGTGCAATGAATGCTTAAGGAGTAGACGACCAGCACAAATCAGACTCCATGATTCTCAGTGTCTTTTTCCTTTTGTTTTAAGAGAAAGAATTTGAAGTTGGGTAGGTAGAGTGGTGATACATCTGCAAGAAGTTTGGGCAAGGGAAGGAATATGGTAAAAATATACTGAACTAGATTCTCAAAGAATAAATAAAACACCAGAGTAATCCGGGGTTGGTGAGCAGAGACGTGGACGAGGAGGAAGAGGAGGAAGAAGGAGGAGGAGGAAGGAGGAGGAGGAAGGAGGAGGAGGAAGGAGGAGGAGGAGGGGGAGGAGGAGGAGGAGCAGGAGGAGGACTCCCCAGGAGGCTATCTAGTATGTAGTTAGGTGTAAGAATGTTCTGGTACTGGACCATCTGCAGGCTTCACATCCTACCTGTGTGGAGGGATGGCAGATTCTCTGGCAGAAGCACGGTCTAGGCTGGTGTGGAGTTACCCTGTGAGCAGTGAAGTTGGGACTTGAACTCTCCATGTGACTCTTAACCCAATACTATTTCCAAAGCATGGAGTTCGGCTGGGTTGATTGGTTGTCAGGTTAATTGGGGCGGGGATCTTCCATGTGAGCCTTTCCTTATTTCAATTATTTTCTCTATCCTTACTTCCCCTTTCAGTTCTGGTTCTCTCCCTCCCTCCCTCCCTCCCTCCCTCCCTCCCTCCCTCCCTCCCTCCCTCCCTCCCCCTCCCTCCCTCCCCCTCCCTCCCTCCCTCCCTCCCTCCCTCCCTCCCTCCCTCCCTCTCTCTCTCTCTCTCTCTCTCTCTCTCTCTCTCTCTCTCTCTCTCCCTGGATTTAACCTAGGATCTTATGCATGCTAGTCAAGCACTTTACCACACAACCACATCTTTCAGTTGTTTCCGTTTCTTAAGTATTTATTTTTTAACTTTAAATGTTTTCATGTGCCTGAATATATTATATAACATATACATGTACACACATACATATATAATATACATATGTGCATACATATGTGTATAATACATATATAAATGCACTAGGTATGTGCAGGAGCCCAAGGTGGGCCGAATAGGGTACCTGATCACCTGGAATCAGAGTTACAGGTGGGAAGGAGCTGCCCTGTGTGTTAGGACATGATCTGGGTCCTCTGCAAGACCAATAAGCACTCTTAGCTGCGGAGCTATCTTTCCATCTCCTTCTCTCTGTTTCTTTACAACAATGGTGGCACAGCCAGCAATCACACTTGAGTGTAAAGCTGACTCTGCTCTCCCTTTCTAGAGGGATTTCACACTTGAGTGTAAAGCTGATGCTGCTCTCCCTTTCTAGAGGGATCTGCATGTCTTATGTGGACCGGTGAGAAGAACAGCTTGGCATCAGTACACTAGTGGGTGGGGTGACGTCAAATCCAATCAGTAACTACTTTGGATTAGGGTTCACCTCATTCTCGATTTGGATGAAAATCCTGCCCATCAAATATGGTTTGTACTCACTCATAAGTGGATGTTAGATGTAAAGCAAAGGACAGCCAGATTACAGACCACAACCCCAGAGAAGCTGGGTAACCAGGAGGACCTTAAGAGGGATGCATAGATTTCCCCTGGGAAGGGGAAATAGATGAGCTCTCTTGGGTAAACTGGGGGCAGGGTGGTGGGGGGAAAGGGATGGGAACATGAGGGATCAGGTTGGTGGAGTTGGGAGCAGGATGGAGGGGAAGAGTAAAAAATAAAATGAGAAAGTCCTGTCCATTTCCATTTCGTGCATAGATAACTGGGTCATCTCCTGGGTGTATGGTGCAACCGTGAGGCCGGATTCTGCCGCCATGCCTCTTAAGGCTCTCTGCGCCTAGGCTGAAGGTGACTCCTGCTCCTGTGGCTTTGCTACACTGTGGCTGGGGTTGGACGAGTGATGTGGAGAGTACTTGACACCTAGATGACAGCTACCAAACCATGCACACTCCAGAGCTAAGCTCGTGCCTCGGGGAAGGATGCATAGCTGTACCCTCAGGACTAAACCTTCTGTGGCTTTGCAGTTTTTCCCTCTACCCAAGGGAGGCATCAGGAGAAACTGGCCCCGGAGGCCCTGGAGAAAAAGCAAGCACAGGTGGATATGTGAAATTTCTCGGGCACACACATCTTAAACAGAAATCACCTTTATTCGGGGTAGCTTCATCTTAAGAAAAGGAAAAGAGACAAGGCAGCAAGCTGGGCTCTGCTGGCAGATCCTGGGCAACTACGCATTTCCACCCCATGCTGGGGGTGGGCACTCCTGATCACAGGTCCATCCTACTCACTCCTCAAGACCAAGGCAAGGCTATCTTCTCAGGATGCTCAGTGCACTTTCTTGAATACTTGCTTGCAGATCACACCCTGGGCTCTCATCTCCTGGGATAATAAAGACACCGGTTATTAGCTGAAGCAGTGTTACACTTGGGGCTGAGAGCATCTCAGGACAGGGACTTGGAACATATTCAGTGGCTACTAACATTCCCCATGAACTTAACTAATTCCTTAGACAGTTGATGGAGTGGGAACCACAGAGATCAGGCTCTCTGATTCCTATAGACAGCTGGCTGGCAGAAGGGTTGGTTCCAAGTTGACCCATAGGAGCCCTTGATGGCTCCCCTCTCCTTTACTCCCTTAGAGAGTCAAAGAGCTTTAGAAACCCAGGCCCGGGACAGTCTGAGCCCAGACTTGAAGGAACTGGTTCACTAGGTTGCTTCAGAGTAGGCAAGGATTTAAGCCTGGGTTGTCTACTAGAGTTTGGGAATAATGCTGAGTTGTCAGTATCTCAGTGGGTAGAGCCTGGCCTTCCAGGGAGTTCCAAGCACAACCAACATAGCCCAAGATTTGCCCAAGGGAGAGCTCCTGTTGACTATGGCCAGGGGGCAATGGCAGTCAAACTCTGTGTCTTCTGGGTTGTTGGGAATCAGAGCTGGAAGACTGAATATTTGTGTGACATTCACTGAAGTTTAAGTGCTGACTGAAGAAACTTGAAGCCCTTTAAGAGCCAAGTAAAACCATCTGAGAACCCTCTGCAGCCCGCTTTGCAGCCTCTGACATAGAGCCATGGGGCAAAAGAGCGAGGAGACACTGAGATCATGCCTGCCCCCTTTGCAGCTAAGCAGACAGAGGCCCAGGGAGGAGCCTGGGCTGAGGATGGATCCCACAGCACAGGCTCCGTGCAGCTGGTCTTCTTCCCTTGCACACCCTTACAGCTGCAGAGCTCATGTGCAGCAGGATGGCAGTATCAGACAAGGATGGGGACAGCTGGGGACCTACGCAAGGCACCCAGGGAGTGGCCCAGGATTAATCTCCAGGTCATCTGGACCAGGTTGCTTCTGCAGAAGGGTAGTTGGGGAGTTCCAAGGTGAAGGAGAGGAAACTTCCCCCTCAGAGGCAATGGGCCATGCTAGCAGTCAGGGAGTCCAGGCCTGTGTGCTTGCTCTCTCGGGCTGAAGACTGAGTGGGGGCGGCTTTAAACTGAGGCTGAAGGTGGAGAACAGGACTGGACTGAGGAGAGCCTTCCCCGGCCCCTGGCCTAAGCTGAGATCATATTCTCCTGGTGAATTCAGCTGGGCTCTGGCCTGGTTTTGCACAGGGCACATATATGTTGTTTGGAAACGAATTTGGTTGGTTCTGTGCTTTGTGGAATTGCAACTGGACATACAAGCTAGATTCTCAGAGTCCCACATCTTTACTACCAAAACAGGAAGTGGATTCTCATTTCCAGAGAACAGAAGGGCCTTGCCCACTGCTAATGCTACCAAGCGCCTCTCCACCTGCTCCCTCTGGCTGACCCTTGGATCAGCCTCGACCTTGAAAACAATTGTATGGTTTTCCGAGCCACTCAGGCATCTTCTCCAGAAGCTCCAGAGTAGAAGCAGTGCCTAGCCACCGTGTTCTTTTCCAGCCTCCATTCACCCTTTCAGGGAGTGAGGAACTCAGGGGACACGGCCCAGGTAGCCACCATGGAACCTACCAGGTGCAGCTCGTCCCCCTCGATCCACTGGGTCCAGCCGCGCCCCTCCTTCTCGCCCTTCTGCACACACTGGAGCTTGTCACCGTCCCAGCTCACGGTGGTCTGCCAAGCAAAACACCACAGCCGTCAGTTCTGGGGAAGCAGCCTCCCCGGACTGGAGAAGAGGGAGGCTCCTGACCTCAATAATTCAAGATGTGCTTCTGGCGATTTTAGTGTAGAAAATTTGCAGCCCAATACTTCCTGCCCACCATGTGCTTTTATTAAAGTGTGCAGATCAGCTTTAAAATTTATGAAAACCTTCACAAATTCTATTTAAAAGGGCAATTAGGAAGGGAAAATGTCATTGAGAGAGGGTTGGGGGAATGGGGATTTTGAAGGACAGCCTTCCAGGGTTGAGCACTGGCTGTGCATGGGTGTGCCAGTCAGGGTCTTGTCCCTGCATCTTGCCTGTGAGGAGAACCCTGTCTGTCCCCAGACATATCAGTCATTCAATCATTATTCAATGCTCGCTAAGTCTTGTAATACCTACAAGGCCCCACCCATGCCCTCAAAGAGCCTCCGTCCCACAGGGTTAACGACCTCGGGTATCAACAGCCAGACACAGGTGCTGGCTGCCAGCCATCTACCTCTCTGAGCCAAGTTTCAGTCGCCATGTTGGTAGCCAGCTACATGGACTGGAATCTCCTGCATATGGCCCAGGTAAAAGGACTCACTCTGCTCATCTGGGTGGTCAGGGCATAGGTCAGTGGGGCTCAGAAGTCCCCCCTTCCGTTCTGCTATGTGGCTTCTTTTTAAAGACCTTAGGTCACTAATGTTTCACGTCAAAGGCTTTGGGAGGCCAGGAGTAAGTTAAGGAAGGGGAGGCCAGGGAGGAAGAGATACGGAGATGGGCTCCAAAGAGGAAATGTGGGTCCGTAGGAGAAAGGCTCTTGGCGGTCTGTGGTGAGACAAAGGCAGAGGTGGGATAGTATAAGGTGCAAGAACTCAGGACTTGAGCTGTGTGTGATGTCCTGTCCTGCATGAGACCAACCTACAGGCTGCACTCAAGCTGATACAGTTCTACCCCACATGCCTCCCTTGAGTCATCTTCACAGAGCACTGTGTGCCCTTCCAGAGCTACTCCAGAACATAGGGGCTCAAAAGAGGACTGGAGTTCAGTCTGGTCTCCCTAGCATGGTCAATGAATAAGCACCTCAGCTAAGTGAATAGACGTGCCCAGGACATTGCCCACATACCGTGCCCACCTTTTGGATACACATCCTTGCCATAAGGAAAGGTCCTCATAATTAGCCCCCCCTCCCCTGCAGTGGGAAGGGCTCTGTTCACTCTTGCTCACTGTGTGGCTCTGAGTGAGTCTAACACTTACTATGAGTCCCCACATTGCCACCAGGTATGAGGGCACTGTGTCAGAGGCTTTAGATAGCTCAGGTTCTGAGCTTCCCGTGTTTTCTGTCACACTCGGCTTAGCATCAGGACAGCCAGTAACAGCCTAATGCAGATGGGAGAGAGGAAAAAATCTGGGCAATGTGTGGAATGAGAACTTCTGGAGGATCCTTCCCCTTTCTCCTTGCTGTCCTCAAGAGGCACCAGCCCTAACTTTGGCGTGCTGATCACTACTGCCCTCTGCTGTTGAGATGAACCTGCAACCAGACACTTAGAAGAGCCTCGGGAGACGGATTTGTCCATCTGGAGAAGTAGAAAGGTGTGAATTAGAGCGCCAAAATTCATGTAAAGAAGAGGTGCTGATCTCTTCTAATGATACCATTGCTAGGAGACAGATATCAGAAGACCCTGGGACCCCAGCCTAATCTGTGAACCACTTCGCACAGGAATAAATCTGGCCTCAGCTCCTGCACGGGGTTCACAGTGAGTGAGGGGCACAGGACGACTTGGGGGTGGTTCCTCTCCTTGATTCCCAGAATCACTTGGGGCACATGTGTAGCCTGAGAAAGCCCAATCTCCTTGTCAGAATTTAGTGAGGCTGTGATGGGTCAAGGCTTATGTCCCAAATGTGGCAAAAAGTCATGCCCTGGGTGTCACGCCAGGCCTGGGATGGGAAAGAGGTATGGAGAAACGAGTCATTGGCTTCAAAGAGCTCCCTAGAACACTTGGTTTCCTCAGCAACTGATCACCCTGTGTTTATGCAAAGACCTACTCAGCAGGTGAAGGGCTCCTAACCCCATCTAGGCATGGATAGACTGGCTGGATCTCAGCTGTGGTCTATAGTTTTGCTCTTTTTTTTTCCAGAAAAGGTAATCAATGGGCAGACTGGCACCTGTAATGGAAAAGAATATAAAGAAACAAAGTCTATGCAATCTAACTTCTTCAGAGATAACTGCCCAACATTTTCATGTTCTTCTCTTCAGCTGTCTCTCAGCACACCTATAGAGTTCTGCCTTTAGAAAATAAGGATTGCAATATTGATGCCTTATCATTTCTTCATTTATTAGAGACAACTTCCACTTTGACAAATACTCTCCATAAGTATTATTTTCATTATTATGCATTATCCAGAAAATGAACACATAATTTGTAAATTTACCAGAGTAAAATGAAAATGAGGGACTCTTTTTCAAAAATATCACAATTTGAAGATTGCAACAGCAGACCATCTAGCCAAGCTAGGAGCCCCTTGGGGTCTGCCTTGCACTCAGGCCCTTGAAGCTGGTCCTGGTGGTGGTTTGGTGAACATACATGCCATTATTTAGCTGATTACCTACCTATTCTTGGGCATTTGAGTATTTTATAATTCTATCCTAGTATAAATAAAACTTCGTCATACACATAATTTTCAACACATTTTCTCAGAACGTATGTCCTGAATCATGTGTAGGTTTTTTTTTAAAGATTTTATTTATTTATTATGAATACAACATCTTGCCTCTATGTATGTCTGCAAGCAAGGAAAGGGCACCAGATCTCATTACAGATGGTTGTGAGCCACCATGTGGTTGCTGGGAATTGAACTCATGACCTCTGGAAGAGCAGTCAGTGCTCTTAACCTCTGAGCCATCTCTCCAGCCCCATGTGTAGGTTTTTAAAGCTTTGGATGACCATGTCACCTGAACCTCCAGACTTGTACTTGTGTATCCTCCAGGGCCACTGTCAGAGAATGGCCATGACGGGGATCTGATTTCAGTCAGGGGGACATTCCTGACGCTTTTCAAGTCTCAAGCAGAGGAAAGGCCTGGTGTGTGTGTGTGTGTGTGTGTGTGTGTGTGTGTGACTCAGGAACCCCACCTTAGACAAGAAGGCCAGATCCATCCAAGGACAAGGCAGGGGACAGTCAGATGCTCAGCTGCTATTACCAATACCACAGGAATGTACAAAAGGCTGGAGCCAGGGTGGCTGCTTATAAACAAACCCATTCTAAGTCTTTATTAAAAATGAACAATAATCCACATCCCTTTGGCTGTGTCAGCGGCTTTCTGAGAGAGACAAGTGCCAAGAGATGAGTGAGGACAATTGTATACCACTTTGACAAGGGACTGTCATTTCAAAAGCCATTATCCACCTTCCATCCACTCAGAAATCCTAGCTGGTACTGCAGCCAGGAAGTCTGAGTGACCCTGTCCCAGGAATGTCTTTACGCTCCTTTGTCCTTTTCAGGTGACTAGCACAGGTTGTGATAGACAGTGACCTGACGTGACCTATAAACACTGAGACTCAATGTGGCTCTCAGGAAACTTGTGACATTTATTAAAGTCCCACATGCTGCCACTTACTTACTCCAAGGACAGGGATGACTGGTCACTTCTATCCGTCCATGCTTGTCCACCCAACCCTGCCAGGTTCTCTCTTGCTGGACCCGCCTCCGGATCAGTCTCTGTGCGCCCAGAGGCAGGTCATAAGAGGAGACACTTTGCCTGTGGTGTCTTTTGCATGCAAGCTCCAGAGTCCAGCCTGACCCAACTCTGACCCCAACACCTACACTCTTTAGATTTGGGGGTAAAAGGCAAAGCCCAGACAGTGAGTTGGCACTTTTTGTGTACATTCTGTGAACTATTAAAAGATGGACATTGGCTTTTCCTCCTACAGTTGGATTTTAACCTGCGCTTTTCTCTCTGAGGGTCTCTCTGTTCCTGGCGGTTTGTTAAGACAGCCATTGGTGCTTGTGTTAAATAAGCCGTTGTGTGGGAGGGGTAGGAAAGCCCTAAGCCCTAACACATGAGGGCCAAGCCCTGTCCTGAGAGCTTATCACGGTGTTTCATTAATCTGCAAGTTTTAGAACAGAAAATCAAAAACAAAAACAAAGACACCCTAAGCTTCTGTAACACCCAGCCTACCGCCCTTGGGGCTGAGCATATTTAGTTTTCTCTGACTGAGAAGTGCAAAGGATAGGTAGTGAGCTCTCTTTTTCTGTTCCACTCCCAGGAGGCTTGCAATTACCTAAAATCAGCACATTCAGGGGTAAAGCTAACTTGCTGTGAAAGCAGATGAAAACCAAATTAATAAGGCTTTTAAAATGTGAATGAGTAATTAGAGACTTAAAGAGCACAGTAAAAGCAGCTACTACGAACGGATATACCCATAACAAGATCTTTGTGGGCACTAGAGAATGCAATTCCACTATGAGTCTTCAGTCCTACCATGAAGATGTTAACAGAGAATGGTTACACCCATCTTAGGACAAACAAAATGAAATACGTTCAGATTAATAATCTTGGTACATTATTCCATCCCTTCCAATCATTTAAGAAAAGTCCTGGACTAAATAGCTAGGGCTATTAATTATGCCAAGGCTCTGAGGAGGGGGGCCAGAGGCCGGGCAGAAGAATGTTGGAGGCCCGTGCCACCCAACCCTGTTTCAGGCATCTGGAAGACTTCCTGGTTGAAGTGACAGCATCATATCATGATCACCACCACCATGGTCACCATGGTGACAAGGGCAAAGACCCAGAATGTGCCAGACAGGTACTGAGCAGGTTATGAAGCACATCATGTGACACCTCAAGACCTCTTGGAGCAGCTGTCCTTCTCACTTTAGAAATGCCAGCGACTGGCAGGCAAATGGATGGAACTAGAAGAAACCTTCCTGAGTGAGGTAACCCAGTAACAAAAAGAAGAACATGGTATGTACTCTCTCATATATGGATTTTAGA